CAGTCGCTTTCGCTTATAGAACACTGTTTTGATTTCTTCTCGAGGTGCTCGTGACTGGATGGCGATGTTAGACAATTCCAACGTTCAAACCACTTGCACGCACCTAAAGTTTCATTTAAAAATGTAAAATTTAATATAAAAAATACTCAACATTGAATATAAAAAGTCTATTTACAGAAAATTTACATGTTACATATCATTTAGAGAATAATACAATAAATTAATTTTTAATTTATTACTTATAAACTTTTACATTTTAATTTTGACTTTCTATATTATAATCTTTTTCGTGCTATTTTCGATGCTAAGTAACAAAACTTTTAAAGACTTTAAAATAGAGACAAAACTTTACAAATAAAAATAAAATTTTATAATAGATAAAAAATATCATGTATTTGACGGTCATTTCTTTCTATATATTTCTAACAGACCGTAATATTTATTATCTAATAAAGAATGAAAGAGAAATTGTATTAAATTCTTTATATGATACTGAAGTATCAATAATTAAATATTTTCTGAAGGCAATAATCGCCTATAAATTGATAGAATTTTTATGAAATTTGTTCTTAAATTTGACTTTAAAACTCAATCATGGCTGCGTTTCACTTAACGCTCGCAACCCTCGCGAGAATCATTTGTCCTTGTTTCATATTTGATAAATAACAAGAGTGAAATAATTCCACGCGTTGTGAGCGTTAAATGGAATGTAATTCATGGATGGTTTTTTTATTTTTGGAAGTAACTGTAGACTGTTTGTATCTTATTATTAATTCGCTTCGTAAATTACCAACGGACTTGAAATCTTCTCTGGATTCAAACAAATCACCGCACAGCCGGCAACGTAATGGCAAATGTTTGTCCACTATGTGACACAATAATTTCTCATCCTCCAAGTTCAGTTTCGTAGATTCACACTGTCGTATCGGCAATATTTCAGAGGCGCAAAGGGGACAATCGGTGTTCACATTGGAATGCACCTTGTTCACGTGGCGATCGCGACATTTTATACAGCAAAATATCTTCTTGCAGAATCGACAAGCTGCGTTCGCCTGTCCGAATTGAAAAGTTTTTGGAAATCGATGTGTAGCGCTTTTAGTAAATACTTTGTCTTTCAACATATCGAGATGTAATTGCTAAAACGATCAAATGTTTACTAACTGTTCAACGACAAATAGTTCGTCAATACGTTCATAGGATAATAACAATGTAAACAAATATGTGTGAGTATATAGACATACAAAAAGTAAAAATAGATAAAAATCAGGATCTAATTTATAGCATTTATAATAGATTATACGTATTTTCTATTTTATTTTTTACAATAGATTTCTATTTTATATATATTTTTAATTTGTATTTATAATTGCAAATTGAAAGAAAAACTTAGGATGAAACAATTAAAAATTATATTTGTTTTTTTTTTGTTTAAATTGATAAAAAGAATTAAATAATTTTTTAGACAAATAAAAAAATAAAAAAACTTTATTTAACAATACAAATTAAGGAATCTGTTTTCAATAGATGTTCGATTTCTGGAAATTAAACTAATAGATCAGAGATTACTTTATTTTTTAAGATAATAATATAATAAAAATTTTTATATATTTAAATAATAATTAGCATATATATAACACGAAGAAATAAATTAATTGTTTCGCAGTGCATTCAGTTATTATCCGTATTTTCTTCTTCCTTAGATACAAGTTTAAATATTGTGACATATCAATGTATATGTCTGTTTTCTCTTGAATATTCAATTTTCATTAAATCTAAGTTTTCATTAAATTCAGATCAGTCATTATCTGAAACACTAGAAGCAATCAACTTCAGATGTCTCATCTGTGCATTCGTTTGTTTCGTCATTATTCTCACTGAAGTCAGTGTTGTGATCAGAAGTATCAAGTTGATATAAGTTTTGTAATCCGATGATTATTTCCTCTTCGCTACTTTCATCCTGCATAACTTTCGTGGCTGTACTCGGCTCATTGTCAAAGTCATTATTTGCAGAAATCAATTTTATTTCGGATATTGATGATTCATTTTCGCATTCTATCGCCGCTTTGACGTCCAACGTACTTAGATCGACATCAACGTTGTTCTCATTGAAAGTAGAAACGCTTTTCTCAGCTCTTTTCCTATTCATTAACAATGCTTCCGCGTAAGGCGGTGCTATGGGGGCTTGCACTGGTTCGTGGTACTTGTACTCCTTACCGTCATACTGAGAATATTTACGAACAAGATAGAATAAGATAAATAACATAAATAAAATATATAAAAAAGAAAACGCAAAAGAATAACAAGGAATTTCCTTCTATCTTATTTTAACCTATCTAATTCACGGTTAAATGAGAATATATGTTGCACTTACATTTAGTGGATAGCTCATATCGGAATCGGGCTGATTGAGATCTCCACACACGATGAACGGAACGATGGTCCTATTTACTCCTGTCAATTTATCGAAATCCCATGAATCCTCCATCATCCAAGGATTCAACATATTTGGTTCATAACCTTCTGGTTGGCTGTAATCCTTACAGACTACAAACGCCTCGATGCTCGAGTTGCGAGAACTGCTGGGTTTCGTGCAATAGACGTAAGGGAAAAATATTCTTAGTTGAGCATACAAAAGCGACACATCCTTGGCACGAAAGATCTTTGCAACAAATGTTCCTCCAGGTCTCAGGATGTATGTAGCTATGTTCAAAGCAGCCAGTAGCAGCTGTGATTGGATAAATATATCCATATCGTGTAAACCGGTCACTACAATCCAAATCAAATTTATTAATTATTTCAGAAAATCTATATAGTCTTAGCAAGAACAAAAAGTGATAAGATATGTACCATCAGGTGCTCCATCACACACAACTAAGTCTGCACGGGAGTTATCAAAGTATGCAATGATCTGTTCTGCTGTGCTGCTGTTAGTAATGTCACCTTGTAGTTGAATAACTCCTTCCAAGGGTGCCATTGCTTGTAAATCAACTGCGACAATTTTTGGTTTAGATGCAGGACCTTTTTCCAAGGCCTTCTTATAGTTCTCTCTATAAAACAGAAATACAATTATTTTACAAATTAGGAACAACACTTTCTTATTATAATAGAATAGATTTTATTTAGTATTTAAACTTTGATAAAGTTCACTTACGTTAGCTTGCGAGCTAAGACCTGGCTCCAGCTTCCAGGTGCAGCGCACAGATCCACTGCTTTAGATACTCCTGAAAGAGAAAAAATATTTTTCTCATGCAAAAAAAACACTTCTGTCTCACATTTATTATTTATTATTCTTAATTTCATACATTCTTTTTTCATTATCTAAATCATATATAATCTTAGTTCATGAAACAGCTAGGATAAAAAGTGATAATTAAAAAGAAATAAATTTATTAATTGCTATTATACTCACCATCAAAAATATGACACTCCGAATCAATTTGGAGCAGCTTGAAAGCACTCCGGGCTCGCCATCCTTCTTCTTTCGCCTTTCTATAGTATATATCACGTTTATCCTTCGAAGTTTTCCCCATTTTCTATCAAAATTGAACTTTCTGTTGCACAAAAATATTTGAAATTTTTTAAATAAATTTAAAGCGCTTCGAGAATACAAAATCTTGTCTTCTTTATCTTATGATGCTCAATCCTAGAAAAAAGCGTGATACAAGTGCATCAGTGCATCATGAATGATGCACAGTCTTATGGAGGAAAGTAGAGATCCTCCTAAAGGTGCCTTTTCATGCCAACGCTCGACACTCATTTTCGAAATAAGTTCACGTCAAAATAAGTCACGTGATAGAAATTGACGAATATTAAGCGTCAATTTTGATCACGTGACTTATTTTGACGCTGAAAATGAATGTCGTAGCGTTAGATGAAAACCTCCCTTTAATAAGGGTACAGTCAACGCGATACTACAAACGCTTTGAAGCGTTTTTTAACTGGTCAGTTTGTAAAATTCTTTCTTCTAATTGATCTATCAAATGCTTCAAAGCATTAGTAGCGAGACTTTGACCACAGCCTAAAAGATACAACATGAGAAAGTCGCGCGTTGATTCGTCCGCCATGTTTCAGGAATACGCGCCATACATTTGCATACCTATATTTGTGTTACTTTTAAATTTCAACAATATAATTAAAATTAAATATTTGAAAAATATTAACAAATAAATTTCTTTTTGTTATGTGCCGAAATAATGCATGCGAGAAGAATTGTTTAATTTAACACTTTTTTTTTTACAAAATTATTTTGAAAATTTGAACCCATAATAAGATTATAAATATTCCAGTAAACTTGTTTACTTTTGTAATTTTAATTTTATTGTTTCAAGATATATAATAAAATCTTTAAATTTTCAAAATAATTTTATATAAAAAAATTGTCAAACTAAACAATTCTTCTCGCATGTATTATTCTGACATATAATGTAAAGAAATTTATTTATTAATATCTAATTAAAATATCTAATTTTAATTATATTTAAATTTAAAAATAACACAAATGCAAGTATGTAAATATAGGGCGGTATTTCCTGAAACTTGGCGGACCAATCAACGTGCAGTTTTCTCACATCATATTTGAGAATCTCCAGGTTTCCAGGGTCTCTAGAGAAAAGGTAGGGTTATCTAGGCTGCGGTCGATTTGAACGCTCATGCGCTTTAAGTTGCAAGCTGATCGCAAGTTTGTTGCGACAGCTAATATGAAGCGTTGATTTCAAAATGCAAGCTTCAGATTGGCTGTTGCAACAAACTTGCGATCGGCTTGCAATTAATGTAGAACCCGCTTTTAGCGCTTCTAATCATCATTCTGTCTTTATCGTTCATTAGATGTAAAATAAGAATAGAAATATTGAAAAGTATTGAAAGCGTCCAAATCGCAGCTCTAGCATGGTGATGGCCAACTCACATTTGAATTTTAGTTTTTCTAAATGACTATAGATGGTGCATCAAGCGGAAAAAAACCATTCTGCGAACCGCGCCATCTCGCTTTCCATGTTTCCCTCTTTACAGTCTTTACTTCCGTGATCCGTCAATCAGTCGTCTATAATCCTACAATGGTCATCAGTATCTAGAAAAAATAGGAACAATCCAAACAAGTAGAGGAGAATACATCTGTATATGTTAATTGAGAATTATCGTGAATCAAAACTCAAGAATAGATCACGAAAGGATCAGAAGAAGAGAAAGTAGCAACGCGTCAAAGGAGAAAACGTGTTTGTACGAAGCAGCGACAGCAACGAACTAGACATTTACTCCTGAATCGACGTTTCATTCTCTGCGATCAAAAAGGTATTCAATTTTCCTATATGATTATGTAGACGACTGACAAGGATGACAGACAAGGCAAACAAGCAAAACAAGGATGTCTATCGATCGTTTAAGACGTATATAATGAAACGGAAGCTTCGAGAATAACAAATGATAAAATGGCGAATTAGGATTGTGCAAAAAGAGCTAGGTTAACGACGTTGTTGTAATCCTTTTACTTCGTGCGCAAGAAAAATCCTTGAGTGGTTGGAAATACTTTTCCAATCATTAGAAGTCATTAGAAAAATGAAATTGGGATTATTTTTAAACGAATCGTTTTTTATATGCATTGCAAAATGTCAGATTTAGATAAAATGTACTATAAATTCCAATTTCTCTTAAATCACACGTCACGGTGCTAGAAATTGTTTTTTAAAATCTTGGAAAATTAACAAATCACATTCGAACAATTCGGCCACTTGACCAATGCAATTGTTCAATTCTTTCTCCATCCAAAATCTGAGCAATTTATAGCATTATAGATACAAGGCTTGTGATGGCTGTTTTTTTGTTTTTAGAAAGCATGACTCAAACATTATTTTTTGTTATTTATTGAGGATATAATATTATGTCAATTGTGTCCTACAAGGAAAACAACCGATGTTAATAGTTGTTTATCTGAACTTTTCTTTCTTGTTTTCTTTTTTTACACATAGAACTTTAAAATATTGTCAATGTACAAATTAATCTTCCATTTGAATTTTGCTTATTTAAGTTATCATTAATTATACTTTGCCAAAAACTTAGAAAAATAAATAAGATTTAGCATATTATTTTCTTTATGAAAGAATATTCAAAAGTATTGTAAAGCCCTATTTCAAAATATTACTTTGATCTATAATCAAATCTGTTTTTATATAGATGCCTAACATAAAGCTACAAAGCTCTGATGGCGAGGTATTCGAAGTCGATGTTGAAATAGCAAAATGTTCAGTCACCATCAAGACTATGTTGGAAGATCTCGGTATGGACGAAGATGAGGAAGAAGTTGTACCATTGCCAAATGTAAATTCTGCGATACTAAGGAAGGTCATACAATGGGCTACATATCACAAGGATGACCCACCACCACCAGAAGATGATGAAAACAAAGAGAAGCGTACTGATGACATTAGCTCTTGGGATGCAGATTTCTTGAAAGTGAATATCTGTTGAATTTTATAAAATGACATTACAAAATTAATATATAAAAATTGTGTGTGTGTGTGTGTGTGTGTTTTAATATATGTTAATATATAAATATTTAACGAAAATTCATGTCATAATGAATAATAATGAAGGTTGTTGAAAGTATTAGATTTTTTTAATTTGTCTTTGTTGTTTAGGTGGATCAAGGAACTCTCTTTGAATTGATTTTGGCAGCTAATTATCTCGATATAAAAGGTCTTTTGGATGTTACATGCAAAACTGTTGCTAATATGATCAAAGGCAAGACACCTGAAGAGATTCGCAAAACATTCAATATCAAGAATGACTTTACAGCTTCTGAAGAAGAACAAGTGCGCAAGGAGAATGAATGGTGCGAGGAGAAATAAATAGAATTGCGATTTTTTAAAGTCGCTGATAACTTTTGAATGTTAAATAATTCATTGCGTTACTAGATGTCGGACTTAATCGGAGCTCCATTATTTTAAGAAATTTTTGTGTGAAAATTTTTTTGAAGACGGATAAAATCCTAATTAATTATAGTCAAACTCACTGTATGAACGTATATCACGTAGGTCCATTGTTATTTATTTCAACTAAATAAAGATAGAATGATTGTGAATTACTTTATGGGATATACTTATACATACTTCATTCTTAAAATTTAATAAAATCCTTGGTCGTTATTGATAATATCCAAGGACATTTGAATCTTATGTGCAAGCTTCTAGCATACGACTTTAGACAACGCTGATGATTTTATATAGTATAATATTATAAATTTATATTTAAGAACATATTATATACACGTGTGTTTAAGAATATTAAAAATAAACTTAAAAGTAATTATTTATACTTTTAATTATTTACTTTCTATTGCATCTTTGAAATCCTTAGAAAACTAGCTAAATTTTAAATATAAATATAAAAACCTTGCCAATATTAAATTGTGCAAATTGAGATTCCTATAACTTTCGCATTTATATATAACTTGTAAAATTACAGGTTGAGAACCCATGATTTTTAATCTTAATGTCAAAATATAATCTACAATGTGGGCTCAATTTAAACAAATGTTTAGTATCTTCTTATTCGAGTTATAAAAAAAAATTTTTATTAACAAATCGTTAGAGAAATACATTTTTGAAATGTAATGAGTATGTTAAATCTGTACTATGAGTAAACAAGTTAGTATATTAAAATATCAACAACTATATACGTAATAATTATATAGATTTGTATTTGTAATATAAATCAACATTTATTTCTAACAGAAGTACAATATTTAAACAATGTATGCATCGAGTTATTCACATTTTTTTAGTGGTATTGTATTGAAAGATTAAACACAAAATGATAGAAGCAGTCCCAAACTTTACACAATGAATGCAATTGGCTTCATCTTGACAAACCAGTTACAGAATATTATGATATGGAAAATGTTAAAATTATAAATTACAGAAAACTAAAAGCAGCAAAGGAAATTTCTAATTATTTCAAATATACATATTCCGAATTTATTGATATTGACTATTGATATTTTGGAATACTATGTGCTTTCTATAACGCTAAAGTATCTTTCTTATCAGATATATTTAATTGGATAATTTATTCTGAGTGTTTGTTGAATGTTGAATTTAGTTTTATAGAATATAGAATGATACACACGCTTTAAACGCCTATAATCGTCATTCTGTCTTTGGCTGTGGTCAAAATCTCGCTACAAATACTTGAAGCGTTTGATGGAGCAATTAGAAGAAAGAATTCTACAAACTGATCAATTAAAAAACGCTTCAAAATGTTTGCAACATCGCGTTGACCATACTCTTTATCGTTCATTGGATGTAAAATAAGAATAGAAGTACTGAAAAGCGCTGAAAACATCCAACAGCCGTCATCTCCTGTCTTCATCACGTTTCCAATTTTTTTCGTGACAAAAAAAGGTAAGCTGTATAATATAAACAAGATATTATCTGTGTGATCAGTATTCTATTGACTGTATTTATATCCATCCATTTATTTTACTTTCAAATGAACATCTGTAATAATCTTACAATCTTACATCTGTAATAATCTTGCTTTTCAGAGAGCAACATTAAAATAATGTCATCATGGAAGAAAGCTGCGAAGATGAACCAAAAGACTCACCGGGAATATCACCAATTAGAGGCACGCAAATACCTGGGGCTATTAGAGAAAAAGAAAGATTACATTATCAGAGCCAGGGACTTACAGGAAAAGCGAGCGACAATCGAACTCCTAAGAAAGCGTGCACTGAATAAGAATCCAGATGAGTTTCATATGATTAATTCCAAAGTGGTGAATGGCGTTCATCGAGAGAAGGACAAGGAGGATCAGCACACACCTGAACAAATCAAGTTGATGGAGACACAAGACCTCAGATATGTAGCATACAAGAGGAATATTGAGGCGAAAAAAATAGACACGTTGCAGAGCCAGTTGCATATAATTGATGCTGCCAACGAGACACATAATCAGCACATCTTTTTCTTGGATGAGATGAAGAATTTTAATCTAGCCAAAAAATTGGATACACATCCAGGGTTTCTGTTCAGACGTACAACTCGACCTTCTTTAAGCAATAAAAAATATGAAGCTATCCGAATTGGATAACATAACTATTACTAAGTTCTAGCAAAAGAAACACATGACTTATAAAGAACTCGAAAAGAGAATTGACAGGGAACGTGAGCTTACAGTGCAACAGAAGCTTGAAGTACGCAGAGCGCTGGAAGACAAGAGTCAGGAAACCGAAATCTGGCTCGAAGGATGCCGCTCCTATTTATAGGTGGAAATTTGAGAGAAAACGATAACTTATTTGTTTATTATAAAAATCGATTAATATGTAGTATTATATATATATAGTATACATAGTAATATATAGTAATAAATTGTATAATAAATATCAAATAAAAATTTATACGCAGCTTTCATCATTTTTTTATATCAATTGTATGATCGATGTCACTCGTTTAACATCCAACAGTTAAATAATGAAAATTCGCATGTTTTGATAAAATAATTAATAATATTTTATTAAAGAACAATTTAGTAATAATAATGATGAAATTTATTTTTAAATTTTTTTATTACTTATTAGTATTTATCTATTTATTATATTCATATAATAAGAAATATTTAGATAAAAAATATTAAAAAATATAAAAAAATGTGTAATAAAACATCATTGAAAAATCTTATTAGTATAATAATTTGGCGAAGTGCGTTACTCATTTAGTCTACTATTTTTGTTTATCTCGCTATCGTTTCGTAATTTTTATAAATTTATTTATCTTTTATAATATTTTTAATTATATCTTATGTTATATCTTAATTTCTTCCACTATTCCACAGTTATTTTTCTCTTTGTAACAATCATGATTATAATCATCATTTAATCGGTATTGTTTCTTCAAAAATTTCCGATATCTCGGTGATATCCTCCGCTTCTTCTGGTCTTCCGCTTGTTTCCGACATGACATTCATTTCCGACGTTTGCACAATTGTTGATTCGCTCGATGTCGATTGTCTATTTTCTGCCAAAGATGTTTCCGTCATTCTCATTGTGTCATCACTGTCGTCAGTTGATATCATCGGCAATTCTGTTGATATGCTTATGCAGTCGTAATTAATCTGCCAAAGTCGTTTCTTGGCGTAAATGTCGAGGCGAGGGCAAGCCGTAATAGATCTGTATGGAAAGATTATATTTTTAAAAATTGTAGATTGAAAACAAATATTTGTAGATTGTAGATCGAAAATAAATATAGAATTAAACTATTACTGCTATTAACTTCAACTGGATGAAAATAAATAATTATAATGAACGTGATTTATAAACCAAATATATAAAAAAAAGGAGCATGAAACCACAACACTGGATGTTGTTTGTGAAATTTAATAATTCATTACATTAGACAGAATATTGTTTTTATCCCAAAATTTCAAGAAAAAAATATTTCTGACTTAGTTCACACTCTGTTAATGAAAAGTTATCCTCTTGAATTAATTTTTTTCAACAATAAAAAACTGAATTAAAACTTTAGAAAATAGAACTAATTTAGATAAAAATAGTGAGTGTAATAATAATGAAAACGATTTTAATTTAAGGAAAAAGTTTTTTATATAATAATACCATATTTAAGTAAAGTATCAGAAAAATTTTAAAAATTATCACATAGTCAGGTCTTTAATATTGCTTACAAACCTACAAATAAACTTAATAGATTTATTAAAATTGAAAAAGAAGAGGTGTATGCAAAGAGGATCATTGTGGAGTGGTTTATAAGATAAATTATCTGGATTGTGAATCTTCTTATGTTGTTCAAACAAAAAGGAAATTAAAAACTCGAATCAAAGAATATAAGAAGATCCACCTCTGAGATGTCAGGTGGTTTCACGCCACCAAGTGAATGAGATGCACGAATTGGATTGGGATAATGTTAGAATTTTAGATACACAACAATCATTATTTAAAAGAAGAATTTCTGAAATGGTATACATAAAAAGACAAATAAGTAGTATTAATAAGCAAAGTGACACTGAAGATTTGCCTAATGTTTATCTGCCTTTTCTAAAGAAAGATCTCACTTAAAAATAATTCTAGAATAATCTAAACTTTTAACATACATATAAATAGCGGTAACATATGATGATATGACAAATAGTAATACACAATGTCACGAGGAATTTCCAATTCTGCGAGGAAAATGCTTAATTCATCATTTTATCTGTAAAACAGTAAGGTAACGATTTAATCCTCACAAAATTAACTAGAATATATTAACGATAGTTTAATTTTTAAATTAGAATTTGGAAATTCTTGTTCTATATATTGATATGATAATTGGCGCTGCAACAATGTTATACATCTTCACAAGACACGTTTATAATATTTATATTATACGGCTGAATTTAATATCAGACATATATATAAATTCTGCGTTTTACTAATATTTGTGATTTTACTGAAGATGGCCAGATTGTGGCCGAAATGTCTAAAGATTTTTTATTAATGTAATGAATTATTAAATTTCACAAACAACATCCAGTGTTGTGGTTTCATGCTCCTTTTTTTATATGTTTGAGTGAAAATTATCGCCTTATTATTCGTCTAATTATTCGTCTTATTGTGAAAATAATTGCACAATAAAAATCCCAATTAAATTAGCTCAAGACAAGTTTTGAATTTCATTGGTTGCAAATGTTTAAATATTTCTAAGCAAAATAATTATCTTAACACATACGTAGCAGATTGGTTAAGTTCTAAAACGTTGACACATGCAGTCGAGAAAAGACAACCGGGAACAAACACGCAAAACTGGAACGCCTGAAAATCTACAAAATAAGTCTGTAGAAACAAAATGCTTATGCATAGAAATGTAATGGTTCTCTTTAAATTATATATAATATTGCTATCGTCTTATAGCATTTTTTATTGGCAGAATTACAGCTCACTCAATGCATAAAACTGTTGTATATACTATTGTAATCTAAATGTAAAAGTGAGAGAGAGATATATTTCAATTGATAAAATGTCCAATGTATAATTTATCAAATAGCACAATAAAATGTATTGAATATTTTGTAGTTTTATATGTTTCTATGTTTTTATTAAATGTAGAGGAGAATGGTGCCGATTGTAATAATAGAGAATCAATTGTAACATTTGTAACATCCTAAGCAGAACAACAAGCCATTTTGATATCAAAATGATGTCAAAATGACTCCAGAATGATTATTAAAAGTCATTTTTCAATCATTTCTGATTCATTTTAATGTCATTTTGATGTTATCGTGACTTAATTGTTGTTCTACTTGATCATAATAATTCATCTATTGACGAAAGACTGAATTGCGTGCACGGTTGTATAGCTTTAATAGAAATAAGTTATTGACGAAGAATCGAGTGAGTGTACGCCAGCTATAAACTTATCAATACCTGTTTATTTGAAATCAATGTCAAATCATAAATTTTGTTATCCGCTGTTATTTTGTTTCAATTCATCCCATAACAATTTGTCATAAAATTATATTGTTTAATATGATCTATATATAGTCAAGTTTTGCAATAAGGTATCTATCAATTAATTTATTGCTTACATGTGAGTTTAATGGACATTTAATGGAAACAAGCGGCGGTGGTTGCAAAAGTATCACAGTGATTGATTGTAACATATTATAATCGTATTATAGTTTGTATTATCAATTGTGAAAATATGAGTCTATTTCTTACAGAGAATGTCAAGAAGATTGGTTACAGTGCGCAGAATGCAGAAAATGGGCATATTCAAGCTGCGCAGATAACAAATTTTTTATTTGCCTTAATTGTTTAAATGATTGAATATTTGATCATTAACAACAGTTATTTTTACTTATAGTGTTTGAGACCTCACCGTTATTATTTTTCTGTTTTTTTTTTCATGTTGCTTGATGTTCATTAGTATAGTGTTGATGTGTGACAATTGACACCCTGAGGTGATACAATTGACACCACCGTAGTGTCAATAGTAACAAGTTGCGGTGCCTTTAATGGTGAATATTTTTAATAATTTGTTGTTTTTCTATCTTTATAATTATTAATTTTAATATCTATTATGTTATAATCAACCCTAAAGAAGTCCCTTTTCACATAAAATTAAAATTTCCTATGATTTATAATAAACTAGTTAACCGCAAAAATCTTTTTTTATTGTAACCAATATCACTGTCCCCCTCTTTATATCGATTTGTGTACAATGGCTTTGAAGTGCACTGAGTGCGCACTAGTTCTGCCAATGAAAAACGCTATTCAAATTCACATTCTCAGATAGATTCGCATAGACTAAAACTTTTTTTTTCAAAGTTGAAAATACTAACTCGTAACTGTTCTGGTACTGATTATGTCCGAACTCAATGTGACATTCACGTTCATTCCGTTCCCCTGATATGCGAAATTGACACATACTATAACATAAGATATTTATAATAATTCAGTTTTTTATTTATGTTAAATATTAAGTAGAATTTAAACTCACAATTTTTCCGCTCTTTAGTATACAGAATCATCACGCTTTGACAACAAGAACAAGAGAAAGACATGGAGCAGTTGCATGATTGTCGCGTAATCGAGATCGTTCTATAAATCAGGAATCCTCTTGATATGCTGGTATCTAATAAATGTTTTCTTATTTAGTTTTATAAATAAAAAAAAATGTAATATATATAATATATAATAAAATAAATTCAAACACGCATTATAAAATTATATAATGAATGAGAAGTTAGCACAATTTTTTTAGATAATTTTATAAATTGCTGGATAAATCGCGCGGTCAAAATAAAATTTTCTCATCTGATATATTATGATTAAAAGTTAAAATAATTGCACTAACTTGTATTAACAGAGACAATTTCGCGAAGGAGACACAACCAGATAAAGACAAGAGCACCAATGCTACGGAGATCCATATTTACACATTATGTTAATTATAACAAACACGCGCGTAATTATATTTACTTAACGAGGTCCAGTGACAGCTCGTTTTACACTAAACGCTTTCTGCCTTTCACATTCCGTCCGCCGTGTATACAGGATGCTACAAGCTATTGTATTGTGAGCCTTTAGAAAATATCCGGAACGTTTTTGTCCATCTAAATTATGTAGCGTAAAATTTACCATTATATTGTAAATACTCTTGTAGGGAGCATTTATTGTTCCCTACATGTCCCTTATATGTACGAGATAAAATAATGCACACTTTTATAACAATTAAGGGTATACTGCACATCAAATTACAAATGTTACAAATGTATACATACATTGTTTATCCCACTGTTTATTATTTGATATTTAAATAATATTTAAAATTTAAATAAAAAGAATGTATTATATTACGCAATATTTTGTAATATAATGGAAATATAACGTGAATTGAAAGGATGCGTTTCTTCTTTCTTATAATAAAACATCAAGCTTACATGATTTTTTAAGAATGTATACAATCATTTATTAAAACAATATTAAATGAAAATGGAGCGAAAAATTAACAATTCAATCAAGATAGATCTTAGTGCCTAATAGTATTTTTACAAAAATTTTATTAGACATCAAGACCAGTCTTGACAAAATATGGCTTTCTTCGCTTAATTGCATTTATTAAAATATAATAACAATAAATACGCATACATGGCACATAATTCATACTATTATCTGTTAAAAAAAAATTTTTAGTATATATCGTCGTCGTCATCGTCATCGTCATCATCATCATCATCATCCTCGTCATCGTCGTAGTCATCATTATCATCCACATCTTCCGGAAAAAGTTCCACTTGGCCCAAACCACCTCCGTCTTCTGGTTTTAACAGAGCTAATCCATTTGAACCGAATCTAAGACAATCTAAATTAACCTGGAAATAAACGAGATTGACAAAATTATAGTCATTTGTGATCGACATATCATTTATATCACGATGAAATGCAAATTTTTTATCTGCATTTGTTAGATCTAAAAATTTGTATATAGCATATTAATAATATTCTTCAGGCAATGAACTTTCAAATCTGACCTTAAACAGTGTAGTATCCTGGAACTTTCCTTCCATGTTTAGACACAGATGAATATTTCTGCCTTGAAAATATATATTATAAAATCGGACGCACGCTTTGATCGGTAGCCTTGGGACAGGAACACATATCGGTCTAGGATTCTTTCCTATGATAACAAGACAAAATAAGAAAATATAATAAATGTAGACGTTATGAAAATGATTTATTTTTTATATAAATTATCTCAAAATTAATTGATTATTGGTTTATATTCTATACGTATTCACTTACCAGAAACAGTTCTCGTGTAAAGAATTCTGTCGTTCATCATGATATTCGCGGTGAAGCTGAACTCGTCAGGATCATACGTGATGTTCACGCAAGCTTTTTGTTTCCACGTATCGTATAGAATTCTTGAACAGCATGAACAGATACCACCGCTACACTGGCAAGGTCTGTTTGTGACCGTGTCATTTTCCGATGCTGATGAATTTGAGACCTGCCTCAAGAGTATCTTTACTTGCTCCAGATCTTCTTGCGATTTTGAGAGATCTTCGAGCTCACTATTAACAATTTTTTTTGTCGTAAAACCTTCTTCAGCCGTTAATTCTGGCACTAAGCATAATTGTACGAGAACAATGATCAACAACAACCAGCAGGCGACCTTCATCTTGCGTTCTTGATCTTGTCTAGCGTTCAATGGAAATAAGACATCTCCTCGAGATGTGCCTCCTTGCTGAGCGATTGGAACTCGACTGGCCGGTTAACGGACACTTATACTGACCCAGTTTTACGGTGAAATTTAGGCTTGGCTTGCTCGCCCACATTTTGTTATTGACTAGAACTTGAAGAAGCAACAGGATTCTGTGGAAGTGCTGTCATCTCATATATTTTTGATCGTTAAATATGGCAGAAATAAAAATTTATGATAAAACTATTTGTTGAGAATTAAATTGATATGATTCATTATTGATATTGATAATGTTAAGTTCTTGAAGATATTGTCTGTAATTAAAGCAAAAACTTTATTTAACGAAGGAAAAAAATGTAGTCTAATTTGTAACAGTTGATTCTTACATACACTTAATGTTTTACAAAATAATAAGACAAATTTAAATATAATTGTAATATATATTTTATATATATATATTATATACATATATGTATTATATCTCTTTACGTAATGATTTTTATATTATATATTATTTTATAACAATAAATTAAATATATTAACTGTTATATATTTATACTGTAATAAATATATTTATAATATTATAATAACATATTTATCTTATATATATGTAATTTTGTAATTATGACATCATATCTTTAATTGACCGATATTATCTTCCTCCTCGAGAATCATATTTGAAGTATTGTTTGGAAAGCCAACAGAACTTGGCTCGAAGTCCACTGGATCGTATATTTCTGGTACGTTCACTTCTGGTTTGATCACTGTCAATTGAGGAATACTACTGTTGTCATCGGGCTTTAGCCAAGAAAATCCATCTGCGCCAATCTTTACGCAATCGAAGTGCAAAATCAAGATTGGCCACGATATCACACGTGTCTCTAAATCAATGCACGCATGCAGATTTCTACCGGATAAGTAGATATCGAAGACTCGTACGCAGAAGGATATGAAAGGTGGATAGAAAGGCACGCAGAATGGTATTTGAGCTTTACCTGTGAATTAATTTATTACATTATGCAATGAATGTATACAAATTTAACGAATATAAATCTACTTAATTAGTTGAAAGCTTGTTAATAATAAATTTTGCGAAAAGTTTACATTCGCCAAGTAATACTCACCAAAAATAGAATAGGTATTAAGAAGTTCTTTTTCATTTACTATAAGTTTGAGATTCATGGCAAGATCCTTAGGGTAAAAGGTAATATTAGTGCAGGCATGATGATCGATATTAAATGTAGTTATATTGATGCCACTACAACAGCTACATCTAAGATCTTCACAGCTGCAGTTTGCTCCATGGAAACCAATCCCAGAAAAAGGATTACGACCGACATATTCCAATGCGCCTTTCAATGCTAAACGTGTATTCGGATCATAAAATATACTGAAATTGTCTGAAAAAACAATTTGTAAAAAGTATATTAAAACATATATGGAAAAAATGTGCTAATAAAAAATTACAATTCTTCTTTCTCTTATAAAGATTATTAAAAAGGAATAAAATTTATCTAAAGGGAAACAATATTAAATGTAATTTTTTATTAGTTGTGCATTTTGTGTTCGTGCATTTTCATGTAACAATAATTATATTTACTCCTACTATAATAATCACGCTAATATCTTTGTTGCAATATTATTGTATATTTGTAGCATATTGTAATAAAAAATAATTTTTTTTTATAATTTTGTACCATAATTATAAATATAAATGTTTTTATAGCATTTAAATAGAAGTTTCACATATCTTTTGTAAGCGCTGTTTTTTCATCAACCATAAAATATTAATTAAATTAAGCAAAAAATATTTATTAATTAAGCTGTTTCTCACCAATATTATAATTGATCACAGAGGTATTCTCGACACCTAATGCCAGTAAAGATACAAGCAGCCACTTAATTAACATGGTGGCACAACCTGCACGCTTCAATGCTAATGGAAGACTGAAATTGGGCACACGTTGGACCAAGACGCAGAGACACCTGTTCATTAATTATGCATCAACTTTCAAGAGTAGGTAAAATAAGAAAAATTGTCACGCTCAAATTGTCACGCTTAAGTAATGATTCATGACGCAAAAAGCAATCAAAGATAAAGGCATAAACATACTTTCATTTTTAAAATTTAAGAGTTTTAGATATTATTAAACCCTGAGGGAATTCACTAACCCGAAAATTTGAAATTTTGCAAAAAGTATGTATATACTGCACGGAAATAAAATTACGTAGGTGTTTTTCATTTTGACGATAAAATAGTTTTAAGGATGCAAGTATCTCTCTTGACAAAATTTGATTTTTCATATCTTTACTTATTATGTATTTTTAAAATCACAAAGAACAATGAGAAAATTAATTTAACAATCTCTTAATTTAACAATAAGATAAAATTAATTATTAATTAATTCTTAATTTAATGCAATATTATCCAAAATGGTACATTTAACAAGCAGCAATTCGAGCTCTCATACGTAATAAAATTTAAGATTCATTTCACATGATTTAAGAAAATATTAAAGATAAGAGTCCGCTTGTCTCCACGTGTGTTATTATCATGCTTGATTATTAAAATCTGTTTGTGTGTTTAATATACAACTCTTATCTTTAATGTTGTCATACATATTAAACAGTGTCAAATAATTTTAACTTTCTCTGTACACGAGAGTTTAAATCCTTAAATCATTGCATGATGAAAAATATTATCATTTGTAAAAAACTACACTCAGTTGTATAAAATTACTGACAATTTTAAAAAAACTTTTCTGAAATATCGTGAAATATCTCAAAAATCTCATAAAATAATTAAAAATATTAACATGTTTTTATAATTATTAATTATTACAATATTTTCCTTCCAAAATTTTCTGACAGAATTAACTTTAATTATTTAAAAAATATATTAAATGTTTTTATACAAAATTTTAATAATTCAAATAAATTTAAATTAGTATTTTATTCAGTTAGTTTAAATTTAATTATAACAAAAATTCAATAATTAAAAACTAAATTAATAATTATACATATGAAAGGTACATGGTATATACATATACAGCGCGTTATATTTATTTATTTATTACAGAGTCAATAAATAACTTAATAAATACATAAATCATAAATATTCATTTGCTCTTAATAAATAACGTTAAATTAATCGAGCAAATTATTATGGCTGAGGTCACGAATAATTCGAGATATATTATATATATGTATAAGTCTTCCTTATAAACAGAAAATTCTCTACATAATAAAATAAAATCCTTCTAGAATTTTGTTTCCAATACATAAATATTTTCTATTTACGCAATTCTATTTGAGCCTTCTCTCAAGAAAGCTCTTCCATCTTCGCTGTAAAATCTCGTATCTCAGTCTCCATATTATTTAATAAATATAA